AGCAGGAATGATAAGCAGTTGCAGAAATGAGAAATAGAGCAAAGAAAGACTACAGCATTTATACTATTGTACTACTGCAATTTTCCTTCCTCCCTTCCTTTTTTCCTTCCTTCCTTCCTCCCTCCCTTCCTTCTTCCTTCCTTCCTTTCTTTCTTCTTCTCTCTCTCTCTCTCTCTTTTTTTTTTAATTTACCAGATTGTCTTTAGGGATTCCTAAAACACTTTATAAAAAAATATATTTATTATTCACTTACTTCATTGCCCTCCAATTCAAAAAACTCAAACTTCATAGAAATTCTGTACTGTGTTGGTGCCACCACTTGCCACACGCAGTGTTTGTTGGGAGGGTACTCCTTGGGCCAGCCTGGAGTGGTTATGGTGCCATTCAGTTTTGTAAGAAGTCCTCCGCAAGCCGCTAGAAAGAAAGAAAAGGGAAAGGTTTCCCCTAATAAATCTACCCCCTTCTTAGCACCTTTCCATTGATAATCAAACATCTCAGCATTAAATTTCAACCATCTTCTGGATTTTTCAAAATCTAGAAAGCTGCAGTCTCTATTCCTTAGTCTTTAGTACAACTATTTTAATCATCTAATCCAGTTTATAAAGTGTTATTTTGTAGATATGGAGCGAAGAAAATGATGGCTTTACACTTTAGATCACTTCAAAGTTGGGCGAGCAATGTAAAGAAAACTGGGGGTCAGATTTCTTATATTTTAAGTGTGTATAATAATATCTACACCACACGATTGTTGTGAGAATTAATAAAAAGATATATGTAAAGTACAATACAGCATGATGTATTAAGACCAAAATCAATTGTTTATTTCCCCAAACTCTTTTTTTTTTTTCCAAGACAAGGAACTTGTTACTTGTTTCCAAGACAAGGAAGGAGTTACTTGAGCTAGAAGGCAAGGTAAACTATAGTAAATAGAGCGTATTTGTTATTCCAAAAGCTCCATTTAACAACTGGTTTTCTTTCTCTTTTGGATGATCTATTTAAAAGAGGTACTATTTATGTTACCTTTCTTTCTTATTGATAGTGAAATTAGGAAAGTTAGGGTTTCAGAAGCAAGTTAAGTGAAATGAACATATTGTACACAGTTCCTAATTAATTCCTAGGGAGTCAAGAGTTAGCTAAAGTAACTGGTCTCTTGAATTGCCTTTGCATATATAGGCATATGTATGTATATGTGGATATGTATGTTAACTAATATAAACATTACTATATTTATAAATATATTTTTTAAACTACCTGTAATCTCAGGTTTACCATATTTGGTAAGTTTCTAAAGTGTATTTATTTTTAGTAGTCACGTGGAAATAACAGCCACATAACTTCATTATTATCTGGCATACAATGTCCTGTGTTTTAAAGACACTGTATTTTCTTCATAACTGTGTCTATTTTATTCTAGTATAAGAGGGAGGCATAAAAAGAGAAAGAGAATGAGACTACATGATAGAAGGAAATGGGTAGGGGTTTCAGGCAGGGAACCCCACGTGCAAATCTGGTCCCACCTTCGCAGGTCCTTTTGTCAGGTCCCAGCTCATAGCCAGGCTCGCAGGAGCACTGGTAACTGCCCAGTGTGTTCAGACAACGCTGCTCACAGCCTCCACGGTCAGGCTTGGCACACTCGTCTTCCTCTATAAAAATGGCGACAATTAGACAATTGACTTCTTCAACGAAGGAACAGGAACAATTTGCAAGCCCTTGACTGATGACATAGAAGAACCCATGTCACTGCAATCTAAGAATTGTGTAAGAACCAGAAGGACTGGTCCAACTGAAGATCACCTCATCTCAGACACAGTATGTTTTTTTTCTGACTTTAAACTTAAAGAGGATTATTAAAACCTAGAGATTTTTCAGAATGGAATAGAAAAACTTACTGAAAAAACATGGATTCACCTGTTCATTTCATTGTATAGTTTGCTAGGTAGCCTGAGGAAATGTTTTTAAAGTAATATCATTATTAAGAAATAAAATATGGTGACTAAAAATTAAAAAGAAGGAAAACTATGAAACTTAATAGACCTCTTTAAATTGAAAACATTCACTGTTTTTTATATAGATATGTTGATCCAGAAAATACAATAATTCCATATTTTTGTAAACAGAAACTATTTTAATTGTATATGGTAACATGAAAATATATATGAAATAGACATATGAAAAATATATACTATTAAAAAAAACACATATGACAAGGTACTCCATAATCTCACTCTTTAGGAATAACCTACTGTGAGTTAAGAAAACAGCAAACAATATTCTCTGGAGAAATTATGCATCATCCAAAGACTAGGCATTTTGTTAAGCAAATACACAAACGTCACAAGAGAGACTCTTATAGTATGTTTATTCTACTGTAAAATATAACATAGAGAAGATTTAAAGCATGTAAATGAACATTTTAATGAATACTTGGAATACATATAGTAGAAGTGCCAAGGTTCTCTGCCTTTCAGTTCAAATGGTAAGCATCTAAGTAATGCTCAGGAAAAATCAATTATATTGTTGCTCTTTGAATAATGAAAATATCTAGATATTATTCACAATAAATTTTGACCTACACTACTGAATCCATCACTTATCCTTTAAAAATTATTATAGAGAAAATTTATTTTCTCTTCACATAAAAGAATTTTATTCTATAATAACACACTTAACCTAAGTGCCTATGAATTTTCAAAATACAAATCTGACGTTATTATTTGCACTAAAATAGCTTTCTTTTTACCTGAGGAATACACACCAAACATGAGACATGAAAATAAACTAAAATTTGCTTATACAATTCAAAATTAAAGCTGATCAGTAATAATGTCAAAAAGACATTTTAGGGATCAGGATGTTCTACTAAGGAGGCCATACATTATTTCTAATGTGACAGAATTCTATTCTCTAAGGGATGGTTTAGATGCTGCCACCTGGAAATAAATTGATAAACTATATATCAGTAATCCCCTTCTGGTTATGAACCCTTTGTTGATTATATTGCAAATATTTTCCTCTTGTCTGTATATTTCTGGATTTTGACTATTTCCTAAAAAACAGGTGGTAAAAATATTCTAATGGAGTTCCTACCCTGTGCTACAAATCTCCAAATTCCAGTTTTATAACCAGTAAACTATTCCATCAAAAACCATCAAAATATCTTTATGAATAGTGCATACTTCAATCTTCAATATTACTTTATTTCTCCCCTAACTCAAAGATAAATACCACATTTATCCTTGACAGAGAAAAGCTTCCACTTTAAATGATTTCAAATTACCTTTAAAAAAATTGGCAGCGAACCCTGCTTTGTTCACAGTTCCATCAGAAACAAACTTCATCCACAAGGTATTGGAGGTAGATCTGATATCTTCAGGTTTATCATAACCACAAAAACGCCCTATTAAAGGACTATTTTCACTGGTTCCATCTCGAACTTCTAAGTAGTCATAGGCACAGTTGTCATGTCTCTCAATCTGTAATAGTAAAAATATGTGATCTATCTCATTAGTAGACAAAACAATTTCTGTAAAAGTGTATCATGTATTCTCAGTGCCATAGTACTAATATGGCCATATTACTTATACCAAAAGAGAGCATTTCTGTTGAGTGTGTATGGTAATATCTACACTGTCCATGAAGGATGTATTATTCTGGTAGAGAGACAGAGGAAAAAATCTATGAAAAAGTGCATCCACATGCACTAGGATCAATAGAAGTTAACTGCCTTTTAAAATAAAATAAAAAATACAAATAGTAATTCTTTGGAAAATAGAATTTAAGAGAATCCAGACTAATAATTATCATTAGAAATCTGGGCTAGATATGCTATAAACAATGCATAATTTGTTCTGAAACATAGCTATAAAAATTGCTCATAGTTGATCAAAAAATCATTATTTTATCAATAGAGTGGCTGAATTCATATTATTGACAAATGTTGCACTATTTTAGGTTATACATATCTTTTTGAAGCAAAATCTGATAACATTTCTTCCTAGTCTATGAAATCCTTTATCCATAGTTAGCATAGCTTTGTGTGGGAAGACTACTCCATTGTAGAACTAGCACTGGCTGCCCCTCTCAGGGTAACAGGCATGTTTAGATGAGGCTTTTACCTTAACACATTATTCTCGACCTGTGCACCCTGGATGTACTCAATCTCTTTCCTAAACAACTAAATGCAAATATTAGCTCAGACTATTGGCTTTATGAAGAAGTGAATGTTTGTAGACCTTTGTTTTAGCCCTAACCTACAAAAAACAAAACAAAATTTACAAATTGTTTTATAAATTATAAGACAATTTCTAAATAAATTCTTGCTTTTGTTTTTTTCATAGAAAATGGGCCCTAACTCTGAAGTCTTAGTAGAGTCAACTACTTATTACGTATTTGAAGCTGGAAAGCACTGACATCTATAATTATAAACCATGAAAAGTATCACATGTTGTCAACCAACATTCAACATACAATTCACTAATTTATGGAATTCTCCTATTGCAGAACGAATGTCAGGGAACACATTCATTCTATGAACTACAACCTGTATGCATGAAACTTCTGGTATAATTGGTTGAAGAAGTCATTTCCTGATTTGTCAATACATTAACAATGATAGTCTTCAAATTAGGCAGCATAAGGACAAACAGAAAAAAATAGATTTTGAAGCAGATTTGGTTAGAACAAAGTACTGCATTTGCTCCTGCCCTTTTCCCAATCACAAATCAGGATTCATTCATTTCTTCAATAAATATTCAGTGCCGGTTCTGTGCTGTGCACTCTTCTCACTGCTTAGTATGCATCATTCATCAAAATAATAGAGCCTCGCCCTGCTGGAGCTTATACTGGTGGGTAGAGAGCAAAGGAACAATAAACAAGGTAAATAATAATCATAAAATATTAGAAAATAATACATTCTATGGAAGAATACAAAGTGAAACAAGATAGGAAGTATGAGCAGTGGGGGTGGCGGGATTGAAGGTTGCAATTTTACTATCAGTAGGAGCTCATTGTGACTCATAAATCCAGATTTTTCCCTAAAAATGTATTCTCTTCATGTGTGGAATTATGGGAAAGAATTGGAAAATATTTAACATTAAAAATATCTCATTATTTAAAGCATACTTTTGAGACAGTAGCTGTTAAATAGAGAGGTGAGGGAGAGCTAGCAGTCTCACTAGGAACAAAATTAGTCACTGGGGTGACAAGGCCAATCTGACCAGCTATAACATACCTTCTTCTCTCAGTCTTTAATACAGTCCCTCCAAAATCAGAGTTCTCTATAAATATGAGAACATTTCCAGATGGCCAAAGTCTATTCATTGTTAAGGGGACATATAAGATAAAATCTAAAACTCTCAGGGTGTACAACTTGATAAAAGGGTAAGCAAAACTGAACAAACAACAAAACTGTAGGAAAAATAATCAAAGGTCTCAGCAAGTCAACCTATCTATCTTCACCTGCTTGAGCAGCACAGAATGAAATGCTTGCAACTCATGAATTATTTTGGAAGGAGGGAAAAGGCTAAGTTAGAAGAGGAAAGGGAGTGAGAACACACAATGAAGAAAGTAGCAGCTTGCCATAGAAAGTTAATTAATAGAAAAAAAATCACGTTGCTTCATATCAGAAGCCATACCAGAGTAAAAAATAAGAAGGTTAATTAAAATGGGGTTTTAATTACTATTTTTGAAGAAATTACTTCTTTTGAAAATTACAGTACGAAGAAAACAAGAGAGACACTGTTGAAAAAAAATTACATATGATCAGTAATTAAAAGGATATAGGATAGCGGGTATTTCCCTGTATATAAAACTCACTCTGTTCCTTTAACAGTTAAACAATAATCTCTTTAAATTTTAATTTGTAGTATATTCACTGGTTACTTCGTAAAAATTAGAGCTCTAAATATTTTATATGATACACAAAGTGTAAATATCTCATGGGTAAAATGAATAAAAGTGACCAATTTTAGGATTGATTCCACCAGTACCTGTTTATGAATTACATATTACTTATATATTATTATGCACCTGGTATTAGGGATAAAACAATAGAAATATACACTGTAGTCTCACACAGTAAATGCCATGGTTGTTGACCTACATATCATATCAATGACCTCCATGATCTTTGTTTACATGTTTTTCCAGTTTAATTATTTTAATCCTAATTGCAATACCAGCACAATAAATCTTCTCTATTGGTGTTAATTATAATTATACCTCTTCAACTACATCCACATAACAGTAATGATGGTGAGCACAAATGAGAGTTTGAGTTAGTTTATGTTATTTGTGTAACATTTTCTCCAGCAGTATCGATTACTTTATCAATTAGTATAAATATAGTTGAAGAAATAAATATGGTTGAAGCTAAAAAGTGGATAAGTTCATTGATGTTATGCCAGTAACCTTAGGTACCATGAGAAAAAGAACAGGAAAGTCAGTAATTCATTAAAAAAAGAAAAGGAAAAACAGTCTCTTCTTGATTTAAAGCATGGACATGTAATAAATATGTTTGGTAATGATAATGCTGATTTATTACAGACTTTAAGCTAATCAGAACACAAACCATATAGGAATGTGGCAAGTTTATCATAACGTAAACAGACCTAATATGTATATAGAGAAAACAGTGAAAGTGACATTAAGCTCTGAAGATTGTTTTAGAAAACTGATATATAAATGATATTGGAAGTAAATCCAAATACACAAAGAAGGAAGAATAAGTACAAAGCTTAGCCAGTAGGGATTAATATTACATTTCATTACTAAGTGCGGGGGGTCCATGTCTTTACTGGCAGGTTAGAGAGGAAGCATCAAAAAGCTGAGTTATTTTATTTAGCAAGAACTAAAATCAATTAAAAGTAACCTAAAGTAGTCAGCCTCTCATTCTAACACTGCCAACCAGTGCAGAGCTTTGTGGTCAGTGCATGTGGGGGAGCTCTAAGACTGAAGGAATGCCAGCCCTGGAGCAAGATACCATACCCAGGCTCAGGGGCCATTCACATACTTTGCTTTCATTTTACAATCAAATTTCCAAATAAATATAACATTGCAAAAACATCTACTGCAATACCTACTTATTTGTAAAAACCTCTGAAAACTCCAAAGTTTCTAGGTAATAGTTTCAGTAAAAGCTCTCCCGTACTCTCTGAAAAATTGAAAATAAAATTACCATATGATTCAGCAATTCCACTTCCGGGTATTATATTTGGAAAATTGAAAGCAGGGTCTTGGAGAGATACTTGTACATCCATGTTCATATCAGCATTATCCATAATAGCCAAGGGGTGGAAGCAATCCAAATGTCCATCAGTGGATGAATGGATAAGCAAAATGTGGTCTATACATAAAATGGGATATTAGCCATAAAAAGGAAGGAAATCCTTTCAAGTGCTATAACATGGATGAACCTTGAGGATATTACACTAAGTGAAATTTTTAAAAAGTGACACAAAAAATCAAATATTGTATGATTTCACTTACATGAGGTACACAGAATCGTCAAATTCCAAGAGACATAAAGCAGAAGAGTGATTGCCAGGGGCTGGGGGGGAGGGGGAAATGGGAAGTTGTTTCTTACTGGGTAAAGAGTTTCAGTTTTGCAGGATGAAAAGTGTTCTGGAGGTTGATTACACAACAATGTGAATGTACTTAACACTACTGTGTCATACACTTAAAAAATAGTTAAGATGGTAAATTTTATATTATGTCTATTTTACCGTAATAAAAAAAGTCTTCTGTGAGTGTTAGAATGTAATTTCAAACTATAATTCATACTATCAACTCCATAAATGATTTAACTTTTATAGATAATATAACTTAAAGTTCTATACATTTGGAACAATGTTAAGTCATTATTTTTTGCTTTGGGGTAAAATGTTAAAGAAAAGTATGACTAACAAAAACAAGATTAGCATTTATTATTAAAAATAAATTAATTTTAATACTGAGAAAAATACAGTAAATTTAAGTAATAAATGCTATGACAAAAGGAATTTTAAATAAAAAGGAAAAATGTTTAATAGATTATTTAAAAATGTATCACTGTCATATTTAATATTTTATTAATTAGTATTAGTTTTATTATTACTATTTAATACTTAATGAATATTGATATGTATACAATTAGAGCTCAAAAATGGAGGAGAAAAAACAAAATGCTCAACCATGTGAAAATCAAAACCATAAGGCTGGGTTAGGTCTATTTTTATATGATTCAGGTTTCTCAATGTTGCCATTTGATTTTATTTTTTCCTTCATGACACAATTATTTTTAACTCATAAATTTAATAAATACTTACTGAAAACCTATGATGACCAGGTAATAAATATATACTTGATAGTATATAAACAGTGATGAATAAACAGACATGTCCCTGACTGACAGGCATTTATTGATTAAACAACTTAAATGTACAAATGACAATAGTTATGATGGGAAAGAATTTATTGCCATGAGAGAATTAGATGCCTCATTTTGCTACCAAGATCTGGGTGTAAGAGTGCCAGGCCATGGAATTGGTATCACTCAGAGTCTACAAATTAAGAACTGTGTGACCTTGGGCAAGTTTATTTAATCTAATCTTTCAGAGCAGAATGATAGCCTAAACTATAATTCTGAAGAGCTACTTTATATAGTAGCTCTTACATAGTCATATTCTCTTATATAGTCATTAACCAACATATATTCTTAGCCAAATATCCAAAAATAGTGCAGGGCAAGCATTAAAATGTTAACTCATTAAGATCTTTTCTTGGCTTCCTAGTTCATTCACAAAGACTAGTCTACTTAACTTAAACTAATATAAAATATTTAAAGGAATTAAAGGATTACTCTTAATCAGGTAATTCACAAAGTACAGTTGACCCTTGAACAACGTAGGAGTTAGGGATGCCAACCAAGAACAGTTGAAAAACTGCCAACTGCTATCTCTGGCTCAAAACCAAAGGAACTGATAAATGACTCACCCAAGGGAAGGAGGCTGAAATAGTTTGCAGAGGTTCACCACTTAAACCCTAATTCTTCTGATTCCATATATTGTGATCTCTAATCAAACACAAACTTTCCCCCACACTTAAAGATCTGTAAAATGAAAATAACAGGTACTATGTTTATTTTTAAAAGTCTACATACAAGTGGACCCCTGCTGTTCAAAGCTGTGTTGTTCAAGGGTCAACTGTACCAAGATAAAAAACTTTTGTATGTAGTTTAGAATGTTGCTAGTAATGATGGGAAAGACTATTATATACTATGGTTTTCAAAAGGAAAGTATAACAAAATCACAGTGTGTAGAAATATTGATAAGTACCTCAAATGTAATCCCACTTAAATAAATGTATGTAGGGATTTTAATTAAACATAACTAAGCTCTGGGTTTATTTCACTTATTTCCTGCTTTACTGACATTTGTTTGAAGTTGTACTATTAAAATCTCCCCAACTTTTTCTCTTATGTATTTCTGCATACTGAAAGTTCTCAAGTGAAATAGTAATATAGAGGCTTTTTTTTTAACAAATAACACCACTGCTGAAGAGAAGACGAGTTCTTCAAAATGATTTTAGACATTATCTACATTCATGTACAAACTCACTTCAGTATTGGTCTTACAAGTCAACGTACCAGTAACTACTAGAGAAGAAAAATCGTCCCAAAGGTGATGATTACAGAAGTATTAGGACTCTATTACCCTCATTAACAAAAGCACTTGTTCAGATTTCTTTCTGTACTTACATTAAAATCTAAGTAGCATTAGGAGAGGTGAATATTCATGACATAAATTCACAGAAAGGCATAAATAATGAACAGCCAGTAAGTTCTTTATAGTAGATTTCAACAGAACTAGCTTATCTTAAGGGCCCTTTTATCTGAAAAGGGAGAGAGTGACATAGGGAATAAAAGAGTTACAAAAATAGAAAGTGTTTGAAAAAGTCAAAGACTGATATCAGTGAATAAAAAGAGTTTTGTCAGAGAAAGACACAAAACACTGAGAAATAATGAAGATATTTTTTAAATTATACATTTTAAATATAAAATGCATAAGCTGTATATTGAATATGTTATGTAAACAAAAACAAATTGATATAAACAGATAACTGAGTAACTGAAACAAACCACCTAATGACCACTAGACCAAATTAAAAATATATACAGTTGATTCTCAGTGTTAGCAGTAGTTGAGTTCAACAAAGTCACTGAAAACACTGAGTTAGTGAATACTGATTCATGACTCCTGGAGAAATACAGGGTTAGGTTCCTGAGAGCTTCTGGTCACAAAATTTTTGCCATCAAATCAATACTTAACCTTGCTTTATGTGTGTTTCTGTTTAAAGGTCCCTTCACAGATATTCAAATTCATTAACAGTGAACTCATGGCCAACAGCATTATAATGCAGGCCTGAAAGTCTAACACAAAGATTTTCTCCATGAGGCACATGGGGAGTAGTGTTTGATAAAACTTTAAGCAGAGGAGTGTTTGATATAACTTACATTGTGAAAGTATCATCCCAGCTGTTGTGCGGATATCACGATATGTAGGGCAAGTGTAAAGATGTGAAGAGCTCATCAAAGTTCCAAAGCAAGAGGCAATGAATACAACAGTGGTGGCCAGAAAGTAGGTATAAAGTGGTGATGTATGTGGTATATTTTGAAGACAAAGCAAATAGAACATGCTTATTTATTGGCCTTGGGGTTTAAGACAAAAAATGGAATTAGGGATATTCCTTGAGTAAATAGTGACATACTGAAACACTAAATACTGAAATAGGGAAGACTGAAGGTGAGTGTGTTAGTGTGAGTAAAACAAGACAATCAAAGGCTTGATGTTAGTCAGTTAAAGATGAGAGGCCTACTAGACATTCAAATATGTCCAGCATATAAATAAAGGAGGAAAAACATAAGGAAATAAAGCAAAATGAAGAAAGGACAGGAAACTAGAGATAATAAATAAAATGTACTGTCAGCCAAATTGTGACATGACTCTACCTCATTTCCAAAGCTTAGCAATAACTTATTCATTCACTTAATCAACAAGTATTTATTAAATGACTACTCTGTGTCAGGCATGGTTTTAAGTGCCTGAGGTGTAAATCTTTCTTATTTGTCCTTACATTATCCTATTTTTGAAGAATATCACTCTTACTATATTGATATATCAAAACAAACAAACAAACAAAACCCAGAAAACCAAAAAAAAAAAAACTGCAAACCAGCTAAGCCAGCAATTTCTGCATCTCAGTTTTTAGATGCATGGAATTAATGTATTTGCTGACATAAATACTATAATAGAATTCTATAAAACGTTGAATTATATATTGAAAGGCAGTTCATCTCTTAATTTTCGCAATAGCACAAAATATTAACACATGTAATGTGGTCATTAGATAATTTTTCAGTGAACCAGTTGTTTTGGTTTAAAAAGTGAGTCCTACCCAATTTTAGTTTACTCTACAATAAAGTATTCTACTTGAATAATGTTTGCAATCCAATAAAACTTTAAAATAAATGTGAATCAGATAATCTCAGAACCAAGGTTTCCAAAAATGCAAAGGGGTCAGGGGCATAAACATCATGATCACAGCATAAAAGAGAGTTTTTTCATGATTAAAAAGAAATATGTCTTGAAAATTAGAAGGTACAAGCAAAGGGGTAGAGAAAATACCAAAAAATATGTTACACAGTTTACAGGTGGGGGTATGAGTTTCTCTGGGCTTTTGAGTAACACCTGGATTCCCCTGGGGCTCCTGCTATGGGGACTGGGACACCACAGAGTCACCACACTCAGTGGCAAGCACATCCTGGCATGAATGGGGGTTCACCGGCCTTCTGATCACTTGGACAGTAAATAGGCCTTCTAATTTCAGTAAAGAAATAATCTCCAGTAATGGCATCTGGATCTCTAACTCTTTCTTGGACCTACTGCCAGCACCTCATCATTCCTTCCTACTCCACCTTGGGCTCTCAATTTCTAGCCTGGTTCTGTAATTTAAACATGCTCAGGAGTTCTTGACAATTCCCATATCTCTTAGCTTCTAATTCCTCACTCAGTTCTCCCCACTACACAAAAATGACTCATTAGTTAGTGCAGTAGTTTTAGATGCAGACTTTGCTCCAGGATTCTGACTGGCCTTTGTGTTATTCTGCCCTCATCTAATAATGCAATGTCGGTGCTGATCTCTTCCCCAATAAATATTTTTGATGAAGTCAAAAGCTCCTAAGAATATTTAAATCCCTGTTTTTTGATATAAATAATTTTCTGCATAATGATAAAAAGGTGAAAAATGGATTTACACTGTAACAACAACAAAAAAGATGATCTACCTTTAACCTCTTAGTTTAGAAGACAAAAGTTTTTTATTTAATGGACTCTTCAAGCATTCTTGTGAAACAAGCCTGGACATTTGTCAAAAGAAACTATTGACAGTACTTCAAACATTCTAATTCAAAAAGCACAGATAATGTAAACTCACTTTAATCTTCTTGAAAATGTCTGCAGTAAGAGGAAAGAAGAAAAAAAAACAACCTCTTTCGCTCTTGATGTTGCATTTTATAGGCAATCCTTTGCTTTTTTGTTGATGAAAAATCTGATTCTCTAGTTCTTTGCTTTTTTAATGAGGATCCCATGAAATGCACTGTCATTTATGGAGGATGTGCCCCACAAAGGCTGCCTGAAAGACTTTACCTCAAAGGCCTGAAAGGTCAGCCCAACATAGCAGTCTTCTGACACTGCTATTTTCCATACACATTCTTTCATCGGCCTGTAGTCATCGGGGTAATTAGGAGACTGAATCTGTCCTTCATTTTTACGTATCTCACCTCCACAGATAGCTGAGGAAAGCAAAAATAAACAAATAAATAAACCTAGACATGCCATTTCATTTTCATTTGCTTCTAAGATAACATTTTAGTTTGGTGCCTGGAGCTGAGTATATAAAAACCAGCTTATAAAAATCAAGGTTGGCTGGTTGTAAATATTTAGTTGGTTAAAAAAAAAAAAACCTAGCCACTTAACTATAAATATTAGATAACAGTCAGCAGAGGAATATATGATTTTTTATCACTGTTAATTCACATTTTTACAAAAACAAGCATTTAAAAAAAAAACTTTAAAAACCTTTTGAGATTTTGTAATTTATTCTATGTGAGTTTCCTCTGACTCCCTGAACTGCTTCTTTAGGTCTTTTACCTCAGTGGAGGAGCTGATCAGGAGAGAAGCTCCACAAAACTCCCTGGGCCTCTGGCTGTGAGCGGCCCTCGTGCTCAACATCTGTGGCTCCATCCAAACCATACTCTTCACAACCACACAGTTAATCTCTAAAACAAATGCTTCCATCCTCTTAAAAGTCTAAGAGAAGCAGAAATCTTCTGTCTTCTAAATAGCCTAAACTTCTGCGCTGTCAGAGGCAGGAGCAAGAAAGGTCTTCTCTACCCACGATCTGGCAAGAAGGTTTTTAAAGCCAGGAAGCACAATGCCAGTTTACTGTTTTAGATACATATAGAACAAAGCCTCTAGTAAATTCTTCTTGAATGCTGACTCTCTCATTTAGACAAAGCAAGCTCCAGAACTGTGCGCAATTACTTTCTGTGCAGTTTCCTTTATCAAGGCATTTCCGCGGTACAGGCATCAAATACATACAAACTCAGCACAAAGAGAAGTGGTAATTTCTTCATAACATTTTAATGTTGTCATGAAAAAACAACCGAAGTTTAAGAACTCTTTTGTCGTTTGTTGTTGCTGTTGTTTTCCACACATCTCTATAATGAGTTTTTTTTCCCCTACACATCCCTGATGAGTACATTTACATGTTACCACATTACTGGTACCAGAAAGCAGGTTGTTTTTGCAGTTTAAATTTACCGAGTATTTTTATTAAAATCATCATAATGAACATTATAATACAAGTTTAGAAAATTTTGTAATTAAAATACAGTTACAATATCATTCTAATGAAATTGATAGAAAGGATATTTCTGTTTAGAGGTCTAAGAAGAAGCCATCTCTAAACTCAATGTGACTTGCCTTCATAGATAGCTGCAAAGCCCTTTCCCACCCAATTACTGCTGCTACGAAACTCAATCCACATTCTGCTGTCTGTAGAGGTAAGAACTTCAGGCAATTTATCCCCACAGAATCTACCTAAAAGAAATAAAAGAATAAAGAAACTCCTAAATATGACTTTATATTCTAATTGCTTTTCATACTAGTTACAAATTGCATGCATAAAACCTGATTTGGTTCCTGTATCTACCCCTAGGAACTAGAGCCATAATTATTCTTTAATATTTACTTAATAAAGGTGGATAAATAAATCTCTTCATATTTATTTATAGAATATTGGAACATACCACTCTCAGATTAACTGACTGATGTCAGTATCATTATCTGTAGAATTAAGAAACAGCTATCTCAAAACATGTCCTATTTGTAAAATGACACATGATATATCGAGGTGGGGAATATTATTCTATGGAAAACAGAAAAAAGTACAAGTGATCCTGAAAAACTGCTTCAAATGTTCAGTTTGGTCATTAGTAGGGAAGTGACAGCTCAAAATATAGTTCTTTGTTTAGCCATGTTCAATGGCTACTTGTCAGGGAAACCTACAGAGTGCCCAAGGATCTTATGTTACTACCTACATCTCATCTATAAAGCTGTAGTATGTAGTGTAGTAGGCAGAATGGCAAACAGTATCAGAAGACTTAATAATGAGTTCTAATTTTTTTCTGATTGTTTATCCACAGGCAACTATAATACTGAGCAAATATATTATTGCCTGTCATTCCTTCTGCCCTCCTTCAACCTTCCACAAATATTCATTACTTACTGTATATTTGCTACTGTGCTCTAAGATTTTATGATGACAGAAAGTTAAATATGACAATGCACATGAAATAATTCCACAAAGAATAATATATTGTCATCCATTTTTGTGTGCCCTTGGTAATGATGTCATACATAGTTTTAGTATATGAAAAATGTCAGTCAACTTAAAACAAATTCATACTAACAGATAGCAGGTGAAAAAATGTCTCCCTAAATGGCAAAGTAAATTAGGGGCATGTAAAACAGAGCAATGTCCCTTAAACTGTAATGTGTGGGAAAGGGAGAGGGAGAGGGATGATTAGGAGTATGAGATTAACAGATACAAACTACTATGTATAAAATAGATAAACAAAAAGGATTTACTGTAAAGCACAGGAAACCATATTCAAAACCTTGTAATAACCTGTAATGGAATATAATCTGAAAAAAGAATATATATCTATATCTGAACCACTTTGCTGTACACCTGAAACTAACACAACACTGTAAATCAACTATACTTCAATTCTTTAAAAAAAGAAACTGGAAGAAAGTAACCTGACTAAAAGAGGAAAAGCTATAATGTGCATATGAATTGCCAGGGAGTCTGTCAAAATGCAGTCTGGTTCAGAAGGTACGGAGTGGGACCTGCATTTCCACACTTCTAACTTTCTAAGTGATTCTGATGCTGCCAGTGTGACAGCTATACTCTGAGGAGCAAGGTCTCAGAGGAAATAGTGGGGAAAGCTTTCCACATGAGCATTGTAGTCAGACTAAGCCAGTCTGTTAGGCCGTTATACCCTGCAGTGTGTAATACTGATGGTGCTCTAAAAAGTGTTCTCAATATTTCAGTTTTAGAATTGTTTTTTCAATATGAGTTTAATGAAATGTTTTCTTTGGAACACACATAGATATATTACAAATTGCTTCATCTAGGCTAAGAAACTAAATGTTCAAGACAATGTTTTCCTCATCCTGACTTATCAAGTTAGCTCAAATCTTAATTTTTCCTTATTTTTAAGCATTTCTACAGATCTCTTGGACTTACTAAGGCTGCTGTCACTTTTAATACAACAGTGTCCATTCAGCAGGTTTTAGATGTTAAGAAGCAAAGATATGTAGGCAAATAAACACAGCTGAGTAAAGCTACTTCTAAAAATAGAAGTACAATCTCAAAAAAAGTCAGTAGAGTAGATGCTCACATGCTCACAGCAGCTCTCACCTTTAAGTAAAACAGAGGGCAACAGAAAGTGCCTAATGTAAGTTAGTTATGTGGTCTGTGGTTAAATGTTGGTAGCATACTTTCATGAGCACCAAATGTGAGCTACAATTTATGACACAAACTACAGATGCACCTTCTCAGCCACAAAAACCTGAGTAGCAAAACTGTGATGTCTACAATAGGAACCAATATCCTTGGTGCAGGAAGCCAGCAACCAAATGTGTACCTAACAGCTCATGCTCTACTGCCTTAGCAAACAAAGCAAAACAACATACACACACAAATACACAATTTATCTGGTTTACTCATTAAAACTCTGATTTTAAAATTAAAAATACAGAATATGTGATGATTATTCACTATAAGCTATTCTAAATCATTATGTTCAGGTCCAAATACCACCTCATAATTGAAGCTGGTTTAAATCAATTAGTTGTCTATTTATCTCTCTGTCTGTGAGTATTTTTGCTGTGATTGAAAAAAGTATAAGAAAAATTAAACTGTTGGTCTCATACATTTTAAACCCTAAGATAACTCTTGAAAGAATTGTCTCTGGACAAGACAGACTACATGAATAGCCACATAAGAGGCAAAAAAATCTCTTACCAAGGAGAGGTGATTTCCTCCAGTACCCATCTCTTACTTCAATGAAATCATACCAGCACAAACTACTTTTGTATAGGTCCATCGTAGTAAAGTTTAAGACAATCTTCAAAATGTAACAAAAGAATATACAGATTAAAAATTATTGTAACTTCACATGGATAGGAATCCAGAACTACTGTGAAAAGAGATTCATAGCAATTTTTTTTCCTGTATTAGTATCCCTCTAATATTTTTAAAATAAACCCCTCAAAAAAACACCCATTTTCTCATTCACTTTAATGTCTAACAATTTAGAAGCACAATGTCAATAAAGAAACTAAACATTTCAGCTATTAAACCAAAGTTTCTGTAAAGTTAATTTGAACAATTGTGAAACAAACAGAAATCATTATTCAAATAGTTTATTTTGAATTTTCTTAGATAAACATGACTTAAACCATGAGGACTTCTGATTTTACTATGAGTGTCTTCTTTTTAATAATTTATTTCAGACATCTATAATTACATTAAAAATAACCACCATGTGCCATATTCCAGGAACATAATATCATTGTGTATGTTGAAATGTTTTAAATACAGCTCTAGAATTCAAATTTGTCCATGTAACTATAATCAAAGACAGATGTCACTATGTTTCTCCAGATCCAAGAATATGTATTCGAAGACCTTTTAAGTTAGAAGATCTTATACATGACCCTTTATTCTGTACTTTGTTTTGAAATGATGCTGCCTTTTAAGATAATTCAAGAGCAACTTTAGAAAAGACAGTTTTCTTACTGCTTTATAAAAAGACTTTACTTTTCATATAATTAACTTTTTTTTTTTAGTTGATTACACCAAAAAGTAGAGCTAAACTAACATAAAAATGCATATATCTGCTGAGGTAAAATTCACTTGGAAAATACTTTTTTATATTCAAAAACTCATTCTAACTCTATTCTGCTTAAAACATCTAAGATGCTTAAGGTGTATAATGAACCTGTTCTTTAATCTAGAAATTGAAATTGACTTTGGCCAAAAGCAACAAATTATGAATATTTGACATACTTCTAATATAAAACTGTAGGTTGTAACAGTATTTACAGAATCCTTTTGTGTCAATATAAAAATTCAAATGTAGGAAGACTCTCAAGGAATGAAAAAAAAAGAAAAGAAAAAGCATAATCAATTTTGAATCCATATTCCCTAAAAGTACTACCTTTTTTGTGTTAGAAAACATATACTTCTCCCCTTTCTTGAGCAAAGTATTTAACAGAAAGGTAAGTACTAATTATGGCAAATCAATCTTCACCCAACTAGCTTATTTCTTCCTAGGATGAAGATACAGCATAACAATAAATATTTCCTAGGATGAAGATACAGCATAACAATAAATATTTCTCATGGCATCTTATATCTCAGCACCATGATGATCATTGATGAAATTGTATGCCAAAGTTGGTTTTAATTGCCCATATAAATAACAATTTCACAGAGATGGAAATTAAGAATTTATCTAACTATAATGAAAGTCAGTTGTACCTTATAATGGTGTTAACATTTCACCGTTAAATTCAACATTTACCAGTTTCTTTAAACATGTACTTTCTTGATTGCAAAAGGGTGAAATCTATCAAGGATGTGAAAATAGAGACAAGATGTTGTTTAACTGTAATGCAGTAGGCATGGCATAATTTGCTTCAGTTTAATAAAGCTTCATTTATTTCTTTCTACCTTATTTATAGTATTTTTTTTTCTTTTTCCTTTGTTTTTTTTTTTCCTTCATCTGATTCTATCATTCTAAACATTCTAAAAAACCTTTTACCCGAATTTCCAAAATATCAAAGGACAAAGGACTAATCCTTTTTTTCCCTTTCTTTTTCAATAACCCTCCATACTTGATTATCAAAATGCATAGTTTCTAAACTATTTTTCTGTAGTTACCAATATACTTGCTCTTCCCTCTCTGAATATCAATTCAACAATAGCTTACTCTTAGGACATAATTAGGAAATAATTTTTGGTTTTCCCCCTTAACTTTATATTTACTTTAAGTCTGCTACAAATGGGGAATACTACCACTGTCTGATATTGTTTCATTCTCCATTTTTATTCTCCCTGTAGCAACCACCAGGGTTTCAACTCTGTATGATCATATGAGAACTTACTTATTATAGCAGAGAGGGCAAAACTAGAATACAGACACAAACAGTAGACCTCAAGGCTCATTTGTGGCTTCCTTCTGGTGTATAAAGGAGTTGTATAATGGTATGCAAAGAGTTTCAACTTCCTCCTTGATGAGGAAAAAATCAGCTAAATTGGAGGGATGTGTGTCATCAAAATTTATTCAAAATAGAAACGATGTGGTTGGATTGCTAACAAATAGTTAATATTTGAAGTCCAGAACACACACACATACACATACGTGCGTGCACACGTGTGCACACACACACACACACACACACACACAGTTGGAAGGGGGGTAACTCTAAACAGAAAAGTTTCCTATCTTGTTTTTAATCTTCTATTTTAAACTCCAAGCACTGTGAAGGAACAAAACTGGTCTACTTTAATGTAAAACATAGCGTCCTTTAGAAGCAGAAAATGTAATAAAGATAGGTTTTCGAAAATCAAATCTTAGGGCTATGATGTAGAAGTAAAACGTTGGCCTTTGACTAAGGTTGCTAGCAGAATCCATAATTAAATTACAAATCAAAAGCACTTGAAAAATATTTGATTGTTTTATATTATGCTATTTTATATAAATACATTGCATCTTTTTTTCAAAGAATGATGAAATAAAAACTACCTAGCACAATTATATAGATGTTTTATTCTTATGTTAAGTATCAGTTTACCATTTCTCAATTTAAAATTAATCATAGTTCCTCTGGAACATGGGATTGAAGGAGATACAAGGAACAATTTTAAGATTTCCTGTGATCTGTTCGGGGTCTTAGTTGTTATTCTGCAAATTAAATGGATTCAATTGCTGTGGAGTTTGCTTACTAAAGACTTTGTTTTACAACCTTACAGAGTGAACAATCTTGAAGAAAGGCAGATCAACAGTCAAAGGACTAGATGTCTGGAAGTCTCCAGAGAATGATATAAGCAGTGAACTTTTGTCAGCACGATTAAGACATTACTAACTACCTAAACTAATTACATAATTCCACGAACACCATAAAAAGACCAATTAGAATAATATATATACCTTATAGTGCTGGGGATGGGGAAGGTAGAAATCTTGTCAATTAGACTGATATTATTAAATATTTCTTTAGAAAGAGATATTAGAATTAAAAGCAGTAAAATAAAATAGATTTCAGGGCTCCATCCAGAAGTAGCTTGGACAAGTCTGATAAACTCTCTAGGCAGACAACTGTTTTCTTCTCAGAAATAAGACTAGGGGCAAAATCAGGGACCAGTAAATTATACCCATGGGCCAAATCCAGCCTGTAGCCAGTTTTTGTAAAGAAAGTTTTGTTATACACATTCTTTTACATATTGTCTATGACTGCTTCTGCAATACAATGGTAGCACTGGGTACTTGAACAAACTGTATACCTGGAAAAGCCAAAAATATTTATTGTATATCCTCTCCAGAAAGTTTTGCCAAATCCAAGAATAATTGATAATTAAGGTTTTGTTCAGTGCTGAACTATATCATACTAAAGGGAAAATTTGCATTTATTTTCACAACTAGGAGTTCTTTGTGACTGTGAGTGAAAAAGTGTAGGTTCCAGTCCTAGCTTCTCAGTTTGCTAGTTTACTTAAACTTTCTGAGTTTGAATGAATGTTCTTGCTATAAAATAGAGATCATCATATCAGGCTGATCTCAGCAGAATTAAATCAGAGAGATTTAATTGGATAATGTGTAGAAAAACACTAAAGTAATCTAAATACATTGTTAGGATTCTCATGTATTAGTATTTTCATGATACATATTTGAGCATCCTTTACAATATAAATCCTGAACAGGAGTTGAGGAAGATGGCAGAAGAGTAAGACGCGGAGATCACCTTCCTCCCCACAGATACCTCAGAAATACATCTACACGTGGAACTGCTCCTATAGAACACTCACAGAATGCTGGCATGCCACGACACATATTAATAAAACTACCAAAAATTAAATACAAAGAAAACATATTAAAAGCAGCAAGGGAAAAAACGCAAATAACACACAAGGGAATCCCCATAAGGTTAACAGCTGAACTTCCAGCAGAAACTCTGCAAGCCAGAAGGGAGTAGCAGGACATATTTAAAGTGATGAGGGAGAAAAACCTTCAACCAAGATTACTCTACCCAGCAAGGATCTAATTCAGATTTGATGGAGAAATTAAAAATTTCACAGAGAAGCAAAAGCTGAGAGAGTTCAGCACCACCAAACCAGCATTACAACAAATGCTAAAGGAACTTCCCTAGGCAGGAAACACAGGAGAAGGAAAAGACCTACAATAACAAACCCAAAATAATTAAGAAAATGGGAATAGGTACATACATATCGATAATTTCCTTAAATTTAAATGGATTAAATGCTCCCACCAGACACAGACTGGTTGAATGAATAAAAAAACAAGATCCGTATATATACTGTCTAAAGAGACCCACTTCAGACCTAGGGACATATACAGAGTGAAAGTGAGGGGATGGAAAAAGATATGCCATGCAAATGGAAATCAAAAGAAAGCTGGGGGCTTCCCTGGTAGCGCAGTGGTTGAGAGTCTGCATGCTGATGCAGGGGACATGGGTTCATACCCCGGTCCAGGAAGATACCACATGCTGTGGAGTGAATGGGCCCGTGAACCATGGCTGTCGAACCTGCATGTCCAGATCCTGTGCTATACAACGGGAGAGGCCACAACAGTGAGAGGCACACAAACCACACACACACAAAAAAAGAAAGCTGGAGTAGCAATTCTCATATCAGACAAAATAGACTAAAATAAAGACTTACAAGAGACAAAGAAGGACACTACATAATGATCAAGGGATTGATTCAAGAAGAAGATATAACAATTGTAAATATTTATGCACCCAATATAGGAGCACCTCAATACATAAGGCAAATACTAACAGCCATAAAAGGGGAAATCGACAGTAACACTTTCATAGTATGGGA